GAACCACACCCATCCACCATTAGAATACCAAAAGCATTTCTGCACACTCCAGATTTCACCTCTAAACATTTTCAATATTCGTCTAAAGTACGGTTGGTAGCAATCACAAAGTTTTAGGAATTATGCTATCTCTTCCCAGGCTCAGACTGCCAGTCAGCACATTAGAGATCATTGTTGTCAGTCATTTCCAAACATGTTGGGAATCTGCAATTAGAAACATTAACAATGGGATTTCACAGATGTAGGTTACATGCTTTCAGAAAAGAAACGGCAGTTGCTGGCAGTGGGGAAATACTTAAGAACTACTTATCGCCTAATTAAACAAGGTGCTGTACTCTAAGTACTGAATGCTAAGCAGTGCTCTAGCATGTGCTCATCTTAACACTGAATTACTAAGGCTCCATCTGAGCATTTCTTAGCCAAGACTCCTTACATAAACAGATGGAGCAGTTCTGCTGTTTCCATGCTGACACATTCAGGCTGTAAAAGTACAGGATTAAGTTCAAATTTATCATAAAATCACTTTAGATAGGACATTGTAATCTTTGTATCCTTCTCAAGTATGACAAACAGAAAGACAAGACTGTCTGCATTGCATTTAAAATGGGCAAATAATAGGTGAAATGGTCGGTAAAAAACATTGATTTAACAGCTACAGAGTGCTGGCTGAGTCCAGAGTAGGACAGCCAGCCCCCAAGACCTTTATATTCCCTTGAAGAAGGGGATACTCCTCACTAGATGGATTTCCCAGAAACACATTAATGCATCATGTAACTTCCAATGGCACTGCAGACACCAAGGATCACCATACTAAAAGGGTAATTTTCTAGTTATGAGCTGAATATCAAAATCCATAAAGAAGTGATGAATGCAGATAGAGATGATGCTGTGATATTGCTGTGAGGAGTCACCTATGAGGGAAGACTGGCAAGTGGCAGAATATGCCAGATTTAGACTGGTTTTCTGTCTCTGAAGCAGCACAAATTGGTTGGAACAGAGTTCAGGAGTGGGGCCAAATTCGACTTGGCTTTTGAATGTAGTCTGGTGATAGATTTCAACACTAGGCATTAATTAATATTGCTGGAACATTTTAAGGGGAGACTACCCAGAACCCGAATAGGACATAAAGAGAAAAGGTCACTGACAAAGATGTCATAGCCAGTGCAAATACGCATCTGTTAATTCCTACTCATGGGACACGATTTCCCCAAATTGTAACTTGCATAGAATATCTCCCCTCAAAGACATTGAAGGGCTGCTTCTCTAAGAAAACCAGAATAAAACTTCAGAATACGATTCTCAGAGTCAGATCTTCACACATAAGCCAATCCTCTGAAGTTTAACTCCAGACCTCCTGTCAGAGATGTCTCAAATTCCTCTGTGGTTTCAGTTAACTTCTAACTGGAGAATGAGAATCCCTATTTTGAAACTGCTCCTAAGATTTCAAAACCTGGAGTGAAAACAAAATTGTTTGAATGTTCTTGTGAATGCACCAGAAGGAACATGCCTTGCTAGTTTGAGACACAAGACAGCCAAGTGCCCAGCTCCTGCAAGTGTAGTTTTCCCACTCTGAATTTGGCAGTGCTTGGTCCTAAATCCACAGCTCCACTATGTAAGAGACTCTCTCAAGTATGACCTTGTTAAAATTTAACTTTGTGAAGAAACAGAGTATTTAAATAAAATTAAATTCCATTTAAGTGTTCTGATCAGCTCTCTGCAGTTACACATTCTGGTACTCTCTCCCACTGGCAATCTATATTCACATCATCTGCTGCTTAAAGTGCAGATCAAAACCTTTCCTCAACCACGGACTTTCAGAAGTTTGTTCAACCTTTCCCCTAAAGCTAATTTTTTTTTTTTTTTTTAATGGAAGACTTAAATTATACTAAGCTACTGTTGGAAATATAATGAGAATGCTGGCAGCTGAAAGTCTAAATACCAAAATAAGACAATAGATCAGTCATTTTTATCAGGGCTTCTTTATACTTTCTTGAAATTATAGGTCTGTAAAGGTACCAGGTCTAATTGTCTTGTAAGCCACTGTCTTGCCTGCCTCTCTCCTAAACGCCATGACACAGAAATGAAGGCGCTCTCAACATTTCCTTTTGTTGCTTTCATGGGTGTGAAGGAAACAATTCAATCAATTTGTGAAGCACTTTTTCCTCATAGTATGACACTAGTATTATACTGAAATTCAGAAGTGGAAAAGAAAGGACACAGCATTCAGTGGACAGAGCGGAACAAAAAAATCACTAGTGCATAGAAGCAGACAAAGTGTAAATATGTTATTGCTATATGCATGAAGATGTTTATGTAGTTTAACCCATAACAGTATCGGATAAGCAGACCTATGTGAAAATTTAAATTCCACAGCATAGAATTCATTCCCACATTCTTAGACCTGGAGCAAACGTGAAGGTACTGTAAATTCTAAATTGCAAGTTCAGACTATGATTTTCCATTTTCAGTTACAGCCAAATTGTTGTTATCCGGCATAACGTACACCAGAAGAACCAGCCTATTTTGATACTCGGGCTTTTTCATTTGAATAAATTCTTTATGAATCTTTAGCGTTTACACCTGAAGATGTAATATATCATTCAAAACCTGGAAAACTTGTATGTTAAGTTAAACTAAGTGCTAAAACCTTACAGCAATATCTGGATTGTAGACTGATTTTGATCTCTCTGCTAACAGATTAAAACTGCTTACAGTCCTAGGTGGCACATGTAAATATCTAGCAGCATCTCCGTGGCACTTTCTTCTAGTTCTTTGTATTTATCTTACCTTTAATGCACCATGTTTTTCATTTGCTCCAACAATCAAAATTTCTGCCATATCCTCAGCATGCTCAGACCGCGCGTGGACAAACAAGGCTCTGCCAGCTTCTGATATATTCTTTAGCGCAACTAAAGACCCGTCGCGTTCCACCTTAAAGTCTGGGTTAGAAACTTCGAAGTTCAATTTGTTATTCCCCTTGCAGTCATCAAATTCCACTGGGGGAGGGGGGAGAAAAAAGAAAAAAGAAAAAACACAATTATAAGTATCCACTTCGGAACATAGACTTCAAACATTTTTATGTTACTGCCTTGTCTACAGATCTCAGGAAGAAATGTCTCCTGATCTAAAGGGAAAAACTTTCAAAGAAGCTTTGTATTTGTGTGACTATAATTCATAGACAAATCTTATGAATATGCACTGTCAGAAGGATGAAGAGATTTTGACCATGGTAATTGGGGAGGTAGGAGATAAACTAAACACTTTGGACATGAACATTCTGTGATTACTCAAATCAAATGCACACCTAGTTCTACAAATTGGGCAGTAGCAGTAGAGACCTTGTTATCCTCCTCATCAAAACCTGGGATGTCTAAAGGCTCTTCTGCTGGCAAAGTGGTCTGAGATATGCCGTAAATCCTTATGCTTGGAATGGGTTGTTTACAGAATATTCAGCTTTGTCTACTGCAAAAGCGCTACATAACAGAAAAATCAAACTGTAACATTTCTTACTAACTACCAGGATTGTGATATAGCGCACGAGCTGCACTATCAGTATAGCTAAGGATTATGAGAACTTTTAATTAAACAATAACTGCCAATAACCCTGTTTCACTTTATATGGAAGATCCTCTCTGTGGCTCCTTCCTCCTCACACTTCTCCCCTGCTCCTGCCCGAGTCCTCTCCACAGGCTGCAGCTTCCTTCAGGACATACCCACCTGCTCCTGTGTGGGGTCCTCCAGGAGCTGCAGGGAATCCCTGCTCTGGCGCCTGGAGCCCTTCCTCCTCCTCCTCCTCCACCCCTGGGGTTCACACTGCTCTCTGACACTTTTTCCCCTCACCCCCAGGTACCGTTTTGCCCCTTTCTTAAACAGGCTTCCACAGAGGCACCACCAGCATCGCTGACGGGCCCAGCCGTGCCCTGTGGCGGGGCAGCTGCGGAACCGGCTGGAACCGGCTGGAACCGGCTCTGTCCAGCACGGGGCAGCCCCGCCTGGCCTCACAGAGACCCTGCAGCCCCCGCTGCCAGCACCCGCACACCCCGTACATTGACAAAGCCATTAGGAGCCTCAAGTGGGATTTTAAAAGGACAAAGTTGTGATCCTGTGAATTTGTGCCTGACTATCCTCTTCCTGAGAACGGTCCAAACTCTATAGCCACCACAGTCTCTTGCATAAAAATTATCCCAGCAGCGGAAGGATCTGGTTCTGCACAAGTTTTAGGCTTGCTTACATATTTTTAACTAAAAGCTGCTCTCATTTCCTCTGCTTTACTTGAGGGCAAGAGAACTATCCTTGGATTCACAGTGGGATAACAAACCAGAATTTCATCAGCTCATTTGTCATTCCATTGAATTTTGCTGAAAGCAAGAAGGATTATAAATAAAAAAGAAACAAAAAGCTCTTTACCCTCAGATACTCCAATCCCTCCAGACAAACCTATCTTGGTCTGTCATGTCACAGACCCCTGCTTGCAAAGTCTTACACTGCAGTAGAAGCAGGGGGGAAAACCACAGAATTTGGGAGCAGTAGCAGTTTAAAACAATTTCACAGTGCTCAGACTGTGCTGGTGTCCATGCTGCTCTCCAAGGCCAAGAACACTCACAGAAAGGGTCTTGTGCTCACGGTAGGATTTTGATGGAAGGCTCTCTGTTAGCAAGGCCTCCCTGGCGTAAAACCACCCAATTTATGTTGGTGATATGACAGGCGTTTTAACAGATTCACTGCAATCTCCTAAAGCTATCAACCCACAAAAAAGACAACATTTTCCTGTCACCACAAATGTGGGAAGTTTAAATTCTCTATACTAATCACTGTATAGATTGCAGCCTTGCTGAATTATGAGTAGATTCTCTTTTAACTTACTCTTTTCCTCCCTTTAAAAAAAAAAAACAAAAACAAACCGACAAACAAAACAATGAAACAGGGTCTTAGGAAGGTACCTTGTTACATTGAATAAATACGTGCTTCTCATAGTCAAAAACTGCTAGTGATCTACTGTCTATTAATAGCTTATAACTGGAAAAATTTGGCATCACTCAGAAATTGTGTCAGGAGTAAAAAGTAAAAAAAAAGAGAAAAGCCTAACAAAACTATGATAAAGTAATCACTTAAAAACAAATGTCATAGTTCAGAGCTATAGCATCACCCACCCAGACACTACAGGTCACATTGAAAAAGAGGCCGCGCTGTGTTGTGCGTCAAGAGGGGATAAGCTGGCTGGGAGTAGACTTCTCCCACCTTGCTGCTCAGCATTCACAAACCTTGAGATTCCAGCATTGCTGCCATCTGTGTGCATTGCAGATATTCAAAGACCACATGCAGATTCGACACATGGAATCAGAAGTACTTCGAACTATATTCTGTATTCCCTTGGAGTTATGAATTTGACACTTTTAGACCTTTTATAGTTTGCTCATCTATTGACCTTGCTTTATGAAACCCTGCAACTTTTTCCAACAAGGGCAGAAGCAGAGTTGTTTGAAAGTGGGAAACTGTTTTCTTACCATATCTCATCCAAAAGCACTGATGCTTTCAATTCCCAATTCTACCACAGAAACAAGAGTATTTGACAAGGTTAATAGCAAGGAGAGGGAAAGAAAATGAAAAGGCTCTGAGAAATACTGATATGTAGGAGAGAAATTAGAAGTGGGTGGAAGCAGATGAAGTGATCATAAGGATACAGAACACTGAAGATTATTCGGACCAGGGGCCAACAGAGATGAAACTGAAGCCAATTGTTAAGACAGTTGAAGAGAACTATAGCCTTAGATAAAATCCCTAGTCTGTAGTTAGGGGCAAATGTGAACTTTATCAGAATGATGTCGTCTCCTGGACTGGGACGACCTGGGAACATTGCACAAGATTGCATTGCATTCCCAGTCATTCTCACGATGTCCCTCACTGGAAACATTTGCTTCCTTAAACTCATATGGCTTCTGGGGAAAAGCCAATGAAGATACCCAAAATTTACAGTACTTGAGCTGCCTATACCAGGCTCCAGTAGCAGCTACATAGCCTAAGGAGCTGACCCTGGCACTGACCACACTTTCCTGCCCCGCCAGGCACTCAGGAGAGATCTGAGGAGTTTCAGCTTCATCAGCTTACTCAGATTTCCCACCTGTGGCACTACATCTGTCTCTTAAACAAGCCTACACATTGCTGATGCTCTAAAAAAGCATAGCCCGTTAAATATAGGGCAAATAGGATTTTTAGTTCTTAGTCTCTGGTGAAGAAAACTTGCTCTGCACACAAAGCCCGTGTACAAATCTCTATGTAAAAACTATAAAGAGTGATTAATTACTCATGTCCTCCAAGTACTAACCAGTATAACAAGAAACTAGACAGGGTTTTGTGGATATCGGTGTGGGAAGGTTCAGACGGATACTGAAGAAATCTTTCCAGCTAACCATTAAAAGTGGGTACTGAGGACATGCTGAGTACGTACCACTGCAGTGTTTTAACACAAGGTTAATCAAATACCAGCTTAATCCAAAATCACTCAAGACCATTCTTAGTACCTGGATCCTGCTTCAAACCAAGAGGATGGACTAGGTGGCACCTTAAAGTCTTTTCCACACATAAAAGTTCTAGATTCAATTAATTTCCCTGTCCTTTCAGGTCTACATTAGGCCTATATATGTGGGGTTCATTCAAGAAAAGAAAAACTACAAAAATGCAGTGAACTAACCACTGTGTCTTACTACACAGCTTATTCATCCAGCTGAGTCCTCGCCACCGAACTCTCTCCTAAGACTGAAGGAAATTTGGGCATGGGACTGAACTTCTGAATATAAGATGAACAAGCACATGCAAGAAAACATAAAACAGCTCAGACTGTTCCACTGAGAAGCTGTCTAAATGATCAAAAGTGCCAGGTTTCAAGAAGGTACGGATGTGTCCTTTCAGGAATAAAACATTACAGAGTTCTTCCAATAAGGTCTTTTCAGATTAGTATTTAAACAATCCCCAGATACCAAAAAAATAAAAAAGTAGTTACCCAAATTATGTCAGTTAGGTGGATAGCGCATGCTCTAAGGAGTCTGCCAAGGTTCACGGAGAGAAGAGACCAAACCTCCTGGCAGTCTACCTAAAATGAAAAGGTGGTCTCCCAATATATAACACTTTGCTGCTTGGCAACCATGATGACGTATTATCCTCATGATGTATGATGATGATGTTCATGCATTTGTCACAGAGATGAGGTGTGAGGAAAGCCATGAGATGAATAACTGACATTATTCATACTACCCAGCTACATTATAACAGATCGGGCAAATGGCAGCCTGATGAGAGTAGCCACACACATTAAAACCTCTCATGTCCTCCTGTACACTCACTTTGTGTTAGAGCTTAAGGAGTTTAACTAGATTCTAAGCTCTTCAGAGCAAAGACCACTTGTTTGCTCTGTATCTGTACAGCACTTGCATCAAAATGATTCATGTTTGGTGCTCAAGCTGCTACAGAAGTGCAAAAAAATTAATAAGTAACTGTTCAGCTATAGCCCTAAACTAAAATTTTAGTAATGCTACACCAGACATGACTAGTGATTGTGTCTCATTGTCAAGAACTCAATGGGCAATTAAAACAATGATCTAATATTTATTTACATGAAGGCAGAGTTCTTCATTTATTGATGCATGTATGACTCTTTTGATGTTCCTAGTCATGCTCCAGCTGCCAAGTGAACATCTTTATTGCACTTAATATGCCATATGGTATGAGACAGGCTCCAAAACTCCACACAAGCAAAATGAAAATACTGCCAAGCATCTCCCAATGAAAAACAAAATGCATGTCACTCATCGCCCTCTGTTCATTTCTCAGCCTCCTATATTAGACTTTTACTCCTTTCTGTAAGAAAGCTCATTCACATGTGAATTGTACAGGATATTTTTGTCCACCGAGCAATATTCATTATTAGCAATGCCTGCATGCATCCCAAGGGTTTAATCGCTGACTTTGAGCTTATCATCATCAAAGCACTTGTTGGAAAAAG